CTGCTACCTTAATACTAAACCTATAAATATATGCACATAGTTCTATTTGCCCATCATCATATATAAATATATTTACGTATGTACATGCCTGTATTTAGACCTCTATAAAAGCCCATTTCCTCCTAGTTCTTTCCTCTATTTCCTTTTACTTTTCTCTTGTCCCACTATCATGCTCAGTCTTCATTTGGGTTTCAGTAATTCCTCTCGGTTACATTGCCCTTGATCAAGCCCTACCACCCTCCTTCCCAACGATTTTGGATCACTTGTTCCCCGGTCCCTGGGTTTGTTAACACCGCTTCCTTTCCCCTACCTCCTCTCCCATGTCCCCCGGAACTGTGGGTTCGCTGTTTTCTCCTCCAGATTGTTTATCCCGCCTATCTTATCTAGATAGACCTGCAGAGATAATAATATGCACAAAAACAAGACAGCAAAACAAAGCAACAAAAGAAAAAAAACAACAGCAAAAAAAACAATGACAAAAAAAGAAAATCCTATAAATAGTTCAAGGTCTGTTTGTTGACCTTTAGGAGTATTTCCCCAAAATCTGTTTTTGGTATTCCCTTGGGATTTCATCTGAATTTTTATGGGAATATTTGCAATATTTTACCCTTAAGCATGGTGATAACTTTTGGTTTGAGATGCATTTATTATTGCCAATTTAAAGAAAATATGTATCTAGTCCTATTTTATTAGTTTTCCTTTTAATCAGAAATGTATGCTGTTTTACTGAATCACTTTTAAGCATCTATGGAAATGAGCGTATGATTTTTCTTATTCCACAAACTACTGAGGGAGTACTGGTGGCATAGTACATTCTGCAGTTGGACTGCTAATTGGAGAGGTTCAAATAAGTTGGCTGTTCAAATCCACCAGCCTCTGGGAGGGAGAATGATGAGGCACTCTGATGAGGAGTCTGCTTCAATAAAGATTTACAACCCCAGAAACCCTATATAGGGTCATTTATGAGTCAGAATCAACTTAATGGCAATAGTTTGGGTTTGGGAAAGCTACCGAGAGCCAAGAGGAAGAACCCCACCTTCAAAATCTGGGTAAAGGAGTGAGTGAAGCCAACTAGAATATACCCATTAGAATTCCTGTGGGGGTAGAGCTATATAATTTGTCAACTACTATTCCAGATGGATCATCCCATCCACTATCCATCTGTTAATTTGTCCTCCAGTGGAAGCTTGCATGTTCTATAATTCTGGAAGTTATGACACAAGTATTTCAAATACCAATAGGGTTGCCCACAGTGGACAGGTAGGTTTCAGTGGGGTTTCCAGACTAAGGCAGCCAGGAAGAAAGGCCTGGAGATGTACTTCCAAAAATCACCAACAGAATATTGCCCAATATAATGCTGGAAGTTGACCCTCCCAGGTTGAAAGGTTACACAACAGCCACAATAATGAACGTAAACATACCAGCGATCATGACCATGATACAGACCTCTGGCAAAACTATCTCAAAAGAAAGAATTGTTCTAACTCCTTTTATCACTTCCTCTGGACAAAAGTGACTTGCAGTCAAATTCCAACTCTTAAGACTGGTTGTTAGAAACATTTAAAGGCTCAGTCTTTCTCTCGCAATAAAATTACACAGTAAGTTTAACACAACTACAGTACAAAGACCTATCATGAGAACTCTGTCGTAGGCATTGCACTACTGTTGTTGCGCTGAGTCCACTTATCATTTTGGAAAAGTCATTCTCCAATCTTTGTCTTGTTTAGAATCCAGTTTTTGGCTGCATCTTTTTCCAGTGAAAGAGACAAATGTATTGTTTAGGTAGCATTATGGAATATTCAATAGTCCTCGTCTGTGTCTCCCAGGACAGGAAGTCAAATGAAAAATAACAGGGGGGAAAATCTGTAAGATACATGATAAAGAGTTAATTTATAATCTGAAGAGTTCTGGTCATCATCAGAAAAAGATCAATGACTCAAGGAAGAACGGACAAAGATTATAATGTAGGCAGTTCATAAAAACAGAATTGCAAAAGACAGGTATATGAAGAAGCTAAATCTTATCAAAGAAATGAAAATAAAAGCAAAAATGAAGTGCCATTTTTCACATATTAGATTGACAAAGATTTGAGAACATAGTACTGGTGATAGTGTAGTTTCGTACATCTTTTTTTGAAGGCAATATTGCAGGATTAAAATTAAAAGCACATAGAGCTTACATGTGATATCCTTAAACTTTCCCTGGCCTATCAATACATAGTTCCCTCTTTATTTTCCCTGCCTCCTGGTTTTCCTCATAGCACTCTGCAATTTATCATTCTTTAAAAATAAATTACCTCCAGTAGGATACAAAGTCATATATTGGCAAAGATCCCACCTAACTTTTTTCTTCGTCTATCTGCAGTACCTACCATGATGCTAGCATGTGGAAAGCAATGGATGAAATATTTACAAGATACTTTCCTTTTGAGCCAATAATTCAACTTCTAAGGTGGCCATTTCTAGATGTTCCAGTAATGTTTTGTTGTTGTTTAAACTCTTCTTTAAATCATTCTACGTCTAGATCAGTGATTCTCAACCTTCCTAATGCCACAGCCCTTTAATACCGTCCATGTTGTGGTGACCCCCCAACCATAAATTGTTTTCGTTGGGACTTCATAAGGGTAATTTTGCTACTGTTGTGAGTCGGGCACCCCTGTGAAAGGGTCGTTCCACCCACAAAGGGGTCGCGACCCACCGGTTGTTATAGATGACTGTGCTACAAATAGCATAGTCATACCAGTTTTCTAGAAAAATAGAACTAAGGAGACACATATATTGATTTACTTCAAGGAATTGGTTCACACAATTGTAAGAGACTGGAGAATACCCAAACCCATAGATAGGTGATGAGAATAATAAACGTTTTCTGGCAAAATGTCTATTTATAAATGAGACAGAACATAACATTGAAGTCCTCTTTTTTCTCATAAGGCCTTCCACTGATTGATTTGAGGCTCATCCACTTTTGGGAAAGTAATCAGCTTTATTTGATTTAATCATATATAACTGTAACAACAAAAGTTTGGGCATCACAGCATAGTTGTAAGTGGACACATACAACTAACAGTCGCACTACTCTCTTACATACCCACCATGTAATTCACTACATTCGGTGTGACAGCAAAATAATAGGAAACACTTTAAACATCCAATATGGTCCTTCCATATGATGGAATGGTATAAAGTCATTAAAATGAATCCAGCATTATTAAGTGAAAAAAATCAAGGTGTTGATTCTTGTGTACAGTTGAGACAGTTTGTTTCTAGAAAGGGAAAGGTACATACATTACAGGTCAGGTTTCATCAATGTCCTTCATACTTCTTTGGGGGGAAATCTCAAGCCAGAATGGTCCAGTGTCAAAAAGTACAAGTTGGAGTGAAGGTGCCCTTTTAAATCACATGCTCTGTCATGGTCTAGGATCCCCTATTTCCTCACTTTCAGCTTTCTGGGGTTCACTCTGAACCTTTGATGAGGTTTAACCAAGCGAGATAGTTTGGGTAGTACTGACCTAAAGTTGATGGGTACATACAGAGAGCATTGGATTCAATAAAGGCCTGCCTCGGCATACACTATTAGTAGCGCTCACTCTAAAGACCGTCTCTAACATTGCTACTAAACACTCTGGCCTCAATGATAACTCTCCCGTGAATGTCATTCCTCTTCATGGGATCTACCAAATACCTCTTCCTTTACACCTTTTCTCTTTCATCTTCTACTTTTCAAAAGAGTTAAGCGGTGTAGATCTTTATGTTTTCTTTTTTAAAAACACTTTTACGGATCAACCCTATAACTTCTTCAATCTGAACCTAGTTTCTAATAGTCAAAACAAAGCTTTTCTTCAATAAACTTTAGTTTTCAACACATGTAGTGCCTTATATGTTTAAGTAATTTAAAGATATATCAGACATTGGTTGGTTGTCTGTCCTGTTTCTTAATCTTAGTTTGAGTGTCATTTGGGCATCTGCTCCTCTGCCATGTAGCCCATAGGCTAACCATATCCACTGCTCCAGAGATAAAACTCCAAGCTCGCTGTCATCAGGTTAATTTCAACTAATAGTGACCCACTAAGACAGAGTAGAATTGCCCCTCTGGGTTCCTGAGACTTTAACAAACGCACTGACTTAAGGTTAGCAGCTCAATGCATACACCATGATGGCATCAGAGATGCAGGGCTCAGTGCTTCTATTTCCTGGTTTGGCATGTGACATGTTACCCCAATTAGAGTGAATGTCAGTATGCTTGCTTAGAACACTGAGCCAGAAATATGCTTTCCATCTTTCGAAGTGAACCAGGAAATATGTATCTAAACTCAATCGTTTTGACAGACATCTTGCTATGTAAGGGAAGTCAGTCTGAGGAGGAAAACAATCCAAAGAAAAGGAAGGTAGAGTGAGAGGTCAATGTCTGATTAAAACCTTGCAAGGAAACCTGTCCTCCTGCCAGCTTTGCGGTTGTGTATTATCTCTTGTCTTTTGCCTCCCAGTCTACTAACTACAACCAGAAGGATATAATCATTTAACACCTCTGTTTCTTGGGAATTCTTAAAGAGCGCCCCTGGTGGCACCCAGTTTTAGTGTTGGGCTACTAAACAGAAAAGGAAAGGTTGTTAGTTGGAACTCCCAGCTGCTCTGTACGCTGTACGCGCTCTGAATTTGGCAGGCTACTTTCCCCACAGGGATAGTTCTACCCTGTCCTACAGGGCCGCTATGAGGAGAAATCCACAGGATGGTGGAGAACGAGTCTGAGTTTTACCCCTGGAGCTTATGGGCTACATTGACAATTGACGCAGTGACTCAATGGCGATGGGTTTAGTTTGGCTTTGGGGGAGCAGACAAATAGTTCCATGAGGAAAGGAAGCCCTCAAAGAGAGCGAAAAGTCAGGGCAACAGGGAAAAAATCAAAACAACAACAGCAAAAGAAGCAATTTCAGTTTAATAGCTCCAACCTTTATCCAGGAATATATGTGTGTGCACACACAGAATTTATGTACAGCTAGATGACACAAACTAAACATTTATCCGGGGGAAGATTAGGGACTGGGATAAAGATCCACTTTTTACTGAATCTCCTCCCATAGCTTGTATTTTCAAAAACATGTATAAATATTCCTTTTAAGTTAAAAATGACAAAAATTAAGTTGTCAAAGAGCAATGTCTCAGAAAGCAACTTCCCCAACCGCTCCTTCATAATAACATAGTAGGTACAGTAGCACCATAGAGCCTTATAAAATTCTTTTGTTTATAGAAAACATTGTGATTGATAGTGAAGGTCCAGCTACAGCGCAGAGAAGTCCTTATTTGTCATCTTTTCCTTTTATCTTCCAGGACACCATCTCTCGGAAACTGCCTAGAATCTTATTCTCTCTTTTGTCTCTCTTCTTGGTTAAAGGATGCAAGGGCTCTCTTCTCATCGGCACTGTAAGTCTGGTTCTCTTCCCGAAGTCATAGAGCCTCCATCCTCCGATGTCTGCTACCCCTTATCACATAACCTGAGCATTCAAATGAAGCCATCTCTTCACTAGTCAGCCCAATTTCACCTCTTTCATGTACTCAGCCATAGCTTCACCTTCACCTGGGAGCAGAGCGTGGCCATAGTTTAATGGTTTTTCATCTTGAGAGGAGTGTATTATAGGTCCTTTGGAGCCTATTAGACCCACACCATCTGAAATCGTTGATGGCTCAATCCACGTTTCCGGCAACTCCCCTGCAGCATCTTTACAAGTTGAGTCGCTAGATTTCTTTTCTAGTCTTCTTTTTCTTCTTTTTGTTTTTCTTGACTCTGTGCTTCCTTTTCTTCTCTTTCTTCCTGGCCTTTCTAGTTCTCCTTTTGCCATCACCAGAGCTAGACTTGGTATCACAGTCTGAATTGCTGTCATTATTTTCAGAACACTTCCTGTGTTTTCTTTTGGACTTTTTCTTTCTTTTGGGGAGAGCTTTGGAACGACTGGCCTTCGTTTTCCTTTCTCCTTCTTCCCAGCTAGATTCGCTCCTCTGAGTTTTTGCTTCATCCTCGACTGGAGTGTGTTCATCAGAATCCGGCTCAGGGAATTTTGGAGAGAGCCCCCACACTGCACGCAACCTAAGGCCCCGATTCTCTCTCAGTCTCCTCTGTCGATGGATTGCCTCTACTCTTTCATAATCTTCTGCCCACGGCAGGTGGCCAGCATAGTAGTGGTATCTGCTGTAAGACATCAATGAGGAGGATGAGAAGGTGCAGTTCCCAGTCTGGAGGGTTGCTCTCGAGACCCAGAGCTTCTAAGAGTGGTCACTCCACCCAGGCCTGAGGCCTTCGTGATCCCCAGAACGAGAGCCAGAGCTGGGGCGGCCCCCTTGGGGGGAGCCCCTGTTCTGCGCACAGGGCGGGTTCCCAGGGCATCTACTGAACAGCGAGAACAGAGGTCATAAAGGTGATCTCAGTTACGAACTGGTGAGTGCGAGGCGGTTACCACACAGACCAAGAGGAAGAGCAGATGGCTGCCCACGCAGGCGTACTGGGAACTGCTAGAGGCATGATTTCTGCTTCAGGCTGGTGGCATCCTGTCAGGCAGGTTGCCAGGTCAGGGCCTGTGTCCTGCATCACAGCGTGGGTGGAGGGACCCCAGCAAGGGCCTCCGTGCTGGGGTGAAGAGGTACTTGGGCAGCCTTTTCAGGCTTTTAAGGTCAAGAGGAAATCAGCCTGATGGGTCCCACCTTTGTTCAATGTGGAACTCTCTTGCTTCTCACCTTTCACTCCTCCCATTCTTGGTTTCCCTGACCTCCCTGAGCAAGCCCGGCTTTTCATGGCTCTATTTTATTGTGCTTTACAAATACCGAGTGTTTTCTAAATGAAGGTTTGTTTCAACTCTGTCTTGAGCAAGTCTTTCATTGCTGATTTTCAAGTAGCATATGCTCAAAGCTCTGCATCGCAGATGGGTATTTCTCAGATGATTTCGAATTTTTTCCTAATACGGTAGCACACTTGATACAGGGGAATAGAGGTAGCTGCTGTTAATCAATACTGGAAACGTGACGGGGTTTGAGATCTAGTCTGTTTTCGACTTGGCTTACAGAAAAAAACAGATGTAACAGCAACCCCATCCCCACCTCACCCCCACCCCTGCCTGCTTGCAGAAAAGTTCCCTTTTAAACTGAAGAATGTTCTAATTCAGCAAGTTCGGACAAACAAAACCATCCAGGCAAGCAAGGCCTTTTAGATAAAGAATGGAGCCTGAGACCTTGTGGGAGGGACAGGATGCCTCCATTTCTGTAGACCAGGCCTCCTTCGTCCCCTTGCTGAAGACTTTGGTGTACTTTCACAAACTTGTTATACATTCCCTCAACTTGTCACACAGTTTAGGGTATATAATTTGTTTGCTTCTCGTTGACTCTCCAAAGCAGTTTTGGGAGGCTTCAACCCACTGCTTCCTTCTGTCAAGTGCTTGCAGAAATAAACTTAGAATTTCTCAAATCAACCTGGTCTCTATATTTGGCCCAAACAGTGACAGGCATCCCAAACCTTATCAATGTTATCACATTTAATAGGCTAGAGTGTAAACAACTTTTATGTACTCTGGGAAACAAAAATAAAAATCCATGACTCACTTTATTGCAATATTTACTTAATTGTGGAAGCCTAGAACTGAACCTGCAATCTCTCCCGAGTATGCCAGAACCTGTCCTCTTTATTTTTCCATTGTACGTTCAGTTCCCACGCTCATCTTATTATTTTTCCCACAAAAAGGAAAGTGTCCCCCATTTATACGGCACAGAGACACATTAGTAACTTACCAGTCCCTCGGTTTCTACTGGAAGCCGGAACCAGAACTTCTCTTGGAACGCAAGGCTGAACTCAACCTCTGAGGCAAGGGAGGGCCATAGTCATGACTTTAATTTTCACAGTCACAGATTTTTTTTTCCATCCCAGAAATACAGAAAAACACTTAATTTAGTAGTCTAAATTTCTCCCTAAATAGGTGCATTTCCTCAGAAAATTTGCAAATTTGGAACTACTTTCTACACACTTTGGATCTCATTCTTTGAAATGGAGAACATTTTATCCAATACTATACCGCCCAGCTCTGGAAATATACACAGGCGTTCATTACATGTACTGGATTCTCCAGTTAAGTTAACCTGCTGAGTTGCTTGTCAGGCTTGAAAAGTCACAGAAAAGCCATCTAGATCAAAACTTAGAAATGGTGCTCTTCTCATGCCGAGTATAAACTAATAAAATGGGTAAGTTACATTTAATAGGACTAAATGGAATAACTTGATCTCACTAGAATTTTAATGAAATTATTAAAGGAGATACAGGCTACATGGTGCCATGCTACCAAAAAATGGAATAAGTTAAGAACTAGCCAATGAAAGTATATGAGAGAAGCACCTTGAATAGTGAAAATATAATAATAGAAGGTAAATATGATAGTCTATTTCAGTAAAAACTTTTATTTTGGAGTTACAAACTACTTGGTAGGCCTTCACTAACAAATGGGTGAAAAAAAATCCTGCCCCTCAACCACTGATGCTATCTTAATGGAACCTCAATATTTCCAATTTCCAGCAGGACTTAGAGGTCCCCGCAGAACTACATCCAGGCTAACTGCATTATCTAACTTTCTAATTTTTGCCAGTTTAATTAAAATGATAGCTTCTTTCAAAAAATGTACATTTTTCTGTGCACATCTATTGCAGGACTAGGAGCGGCTAAAATACTTAAGCAGAGCAGCGAAACTCATACAGAGACTAGCTAAAATGAAGCACTAAAAATTGATGAGGGTGGGTGGGTGAAGAACCTTGTGGTCATCTGGTTGCTGTGCCCTTCCTTCTAGGTTGGAAAAGTTTCTTCTTAGTTGCCAAACCGAAAACCCACTGCCATCAAGTGG